ATCTCCAAAATGATTTCCGAACCTATAACATCATGTATACCTAGCAATAGGTCTGTTTGGACATATTTCGATACTACAGACATTATTGCAGCCTTGGTTGCTATAGTAGAACAAATCAACTGAACTCCAGGACGATTTGTAGAACCTTAGAATATCCGGTATACATGACAATTACTAGCATATATACGATTCGTTTATGATTTGACAACGAAAAATGCTATGTTCATGTTGGAAAAAAAGGAAAATGTCTCACATTGGACAGACCTCAGGGAATTTCCGTGAAAATGGTTTGAACCGGTAAAAAATTGAGAGCCAAATGACCAACAAAATTAATGACAGCCAAATTGTCCGGGATGGATACAAGAAATTCCACAATTTTTGTGACAGCACATCAGTCCCTTCGCGATTTTCGCGACATCATTTAATGTTTCCGCGATTTTCGCGACTGAAAGTTCAAATCCGCGACAAATCCGCGAAAATCGCGAAATCCGCGAAATTCGCGAAATCCGCAAAATTCGCGAAATCCGCGAAATTCGCGAAATCCGCGCCTGTTGTAACAGCCCTGGAATTATAAACATGATGATTCATGGAAATTCCGAGAAAAATCGTATTTTGAGATTTAAAAAAATTAGGAAAATTAAAAATAAATTCGTAGGAAAGTTTTAAGTAAATTCTACAAGAAGAGTTTTCTGTTAGTTTTAACAAGAATGTCATGATAAATCTGATCAGAATTCCAGTCTCTCCCCCCTAAAAGCTACATCATTTATGAATGTTCACTTATGTGTGTCAAAAAATTATTTACAAATTCTTATGGAAAAACTTTTAATAAACCACCCACACATAAAGTATATTTCTGCATATCCAAGAAGCTTTAAAAATTTGCAGTGATTTTTTTTTTCATTTTCATAATATGACAACTAAATATGCTTTTCAGAATCATGAAAATGTTGTAAGCTAGGATTCTTTTTTAAGTCCTAGGTTCTGGATCTCGAATATTATTCTAGCTTTTAGGGTTTAAGAATGTGGAAAATTGAAACGACTGAATTTTAGTTTTTTAGTCCTCCAGTCTTGAAGATTTATATTTTGCCATTAATGAATTAATTAATTTAAGTAAAACATTTATTTTCTGTCCTCATTTTTGCCAAATGGCCTATGCTGTTCATTATTCAAAAAACTTATTATTGCGAAAGTTTTTTTTTTCTAATTTTTATAGAACTTGAAAACCTTTCGAAATCAAGACATCAATAATTTAGGATAATTTGCTGCGATTTTTAGGGCTGTCCTGAAACTACGTCGACAGCTTTTGAGAGGTTCTGAACCCCTGCCCCCTTCGTAGACAGTCGATCAAACAAAACAAATCAAAAAATGCATGGCCCGTAGACTGCAGACATTGTTTTTGAACAGCGCTTTAGTCATGATTAAGGAACCTAATTTTCAAAATCCTGAAAAAAAATAATTAAAGAGGATATTAAGGGGAGGGGTATTTGCTTCTCCCTGGAACTTATGGGTTGTTGGAGTTGAAAAGTGGCGGTGACGACATTTGAAGATATTTTTACGATCTTGTTGAAGACTTTTTCTTAAATCTTCTGGCATCCCTGCTCTAGCGTTGCACGCATGGATCAATTTTACCCAACGCAGCGTTTTGACTTCACTTCAAGTTCTTCTCCTTTTCTAAGCCGCGCTTGCTGGTCGTGCAAATTAATTGATGTCAAGGTGCGAGCGGTAGGTATCCGAGCAGGAAAAAAATAACTTATTAATACCAAATTTAGGTATGAAAATAGCATAATTGGCAACCTAAACATGGTATTAGTGAGGCTGACCAATACCATAAATAATACCTCAAGAATATTCTACGAATAACGAACTAATAAATAATTTAGTTGTTACAATAACAAACGGATAACATACGCTTTTTTAGAAGCCAGAATACCATAGTTTGTTATTTTGAAGGTCTTCTAATACCAATTCAATAACTCTTTTAGGTGTTATGATTTAAAAACTGGAAATTGATTTGATATTTTACAAAATATTTCGATAACTGAATAATATCAAAACAAGCTTTTATACCACAAGCATATCAAAATCTGGTATCATACCCCATTAAGATATTCATTTGTTATCGATTAGCAATCGGTTCCTGCACGATGCAAAAGGAGTTACAGCTAATAACTTCCTTCCATTTTTATTCCGATGATAATTGAACGGAAGAATTGCACTTCGGACCATTCGAGGTTTGCGGTTCGAGACTGGTTATGATCGATGGACGGATGCAATGACAGGTCTCCATTAGGGTGGGTCAACTTTACAAGGCCCTGCTCCCCACTGATGCTCTTCCAATCTGTATTGAGGTCCCCGCCAGTTGTGCAAAATTGGAATGAATTTGATTATCAGCGTAGCCAGTGATTTTTTTTAATTGCCGGTTTTCCCGGCTCAAATCTATAAAAAATCCCGGTTTTTATATTCAGTAAAAAACCGGAGTGTTCAATGAATATATTTTTAAACGTGACCAAGTGTCAATTTTTGAAGTTATTTGGGGTAAAATTATAGAACTTCAAGGATTATGAGGAGAATGTGATTCTGTGAATTTTATGGGTATCTTAAGGACAATAACAATTGAATTGTATGGCTAATTTCAAGAAAATTTAAAGGGGAATTCAAATTAAAAAATAAACAGAATTTATATTGTATTCTGAAGATAATTTCAAATGTATGTAATTTGGATTGGATTCCTGAGGAGAGTTTTGCTTATGTTTTCAACGGAATTGCATTTTCAGGATAAAATATAAAATTACAACTTATAGATTAGATTGGATTTACTTTACGGTTGTGATCTGGATTTGAGGGAGAATTTTAAATTGTGTATGTAAAAATGTTGTTTTTCAATAATTCATCTGCTGTTCTTCATTCTGTTAACCTGTTAACCTGTTCAATAACAAGTTCATTAATAGCCATACCTAGCCAAGAACTACATTGATCACATCCGGACATGTTCCGGGAACCCCGCCAGTTCCTGACTAGAACCAAAATCCATTATGCTACACATCAATCAAACCAAGTACCCAGTTCCACATTGGTCACATCCAGCCATATTTCGGGTACCCCTGCGGAAGTGGCCAGTTTCTGACTAAGATCAAAAGCCATCATGCGACACATAAAATTACATCAGAATTCAAAAAATGATTATATCAAGTTTCAGGACCACATTTGGCACATCCGGTCATGTTCCAGGTACCCCAGGGGAAGTGGCAAGTTTAAGACTTGTACCAAAACTTGCCATGCGACACTTCAAATCACATCAGAATTCAAAAACAAGTGCAATGGTGGTTATATCAAGCACCCAGGACCCCAATCGAACACCTCCGGATTTGTTCCGGGTAACCCCAGGAAAATTACCAGATTTGCATGGGGCAAAGCCTATCATGAGAGCCTTAAATCACATGAGAATTCAAAATCTAGTTCAATTGTAGTCATTGAGCGTCCAGGACCACACTGGCTACTTTCAGACATGTTCCGGATACTCCCGGGATAGTGACCAGTTTCTGATTTGGACCAAAACACCTTAAATACATAATAGTTTTTTTTTTAATTATTAGACCAAAATTTGTGTATTTTTTTCTGAAAAGGTAATTCAGTTTCCTACAACTTTGTCTTAGACGTTATTTCGATTAGATATTTTTAATATATATTACCACTAAAACGACTCAAGCTAATATTTATTAAAAGAGATCAAATATGACATTTTGAAAAATAAGGCGTGAGTCGAAATGGCCGGATGCCAGCATCAAATTGATTTATTACCCCTAGCGAAGTTTCATGAAATTCTGAGAAGTAAAATATTAAATTCGTTTTCCGCTAACTGGTGTGGATTTGGCTCTTGATCAGTTGCGGCAGCAGTTTGCAAAACTGATATTAATTATCCTTAAATAACGTGTTAAGGGGAAAATGTGGCAAAATGAGCTACTTTTCGAAGTCTACACTATACGAAACATGCTCCAATTGATTATTTGGACTTTTACATAAAAAATTATGTGTTTTATGTCTGAAATCTAGCGGCAGTTTTCCCGGATGATTCATTTAACTTCCTTCGGACGCTTCTTCCGACTTCCTGCAGCAATTTTCCTTTCGACTCCCCCTGAAATATGGTTTTTCGTGTGGAGTGTAATATTTTTTTTAAATATTAAATGTCTTTTGTAAAAAAAATAACTGTTTCCCGGGAGATCGGATCAGACTCTCGAGAATCGGGAAATATTATTTTCAATAAATTTTCCCGGGGATGGTTTTCCGATATGTCACGGATAGGAAACCCCAACTCCAAGCACAAGGTTGAATTAAAAAAAAACTGAACTGTACCTCCTCGGTCGAATTAACACTTTTACTGTGTGTAATTCATACTGTTAATTGCTTCTGCTTTACCACCAACATCTACAAATGAACTATAACCATAACCCACGCTCTGCTGCCACTACTAATCTGTGTGGTGGTGGAACCGCATATCAAAGCTCCTGCCACTACTAGCGAGGGTAAACATATCTGCAAAAAAGCACACTATCAAGCAAACCAACTGCCAGCAATGTGACGAAAAAAGTGTGACTCCAAGTTAAGTGAACAAACAAGTTGTCTACCACCATCTACAACTACCAACCAACCGACCAATGCGGCTCAACATTTGTGTTAAGTAACCTGTTGGCACGGTGGATATTACTGCCTAATGGTTTGTTGATTTAGTCAGGCGTAAAAACCTTTGAAGAACCACGCGACTGTGATCCAATGTCACTATATTGTCTCTTTGCACAGTGATAACCGACAGGTTTCTCTTTCTACGTGGAGTGGGGCAAATATTTGACTATAAAACGATAACATGTACTTGATCGTTACACCGTAATTACTCCTCATTCATCATCAGCAGAGTTTGAAGTACAACCCGGCACGAGGGTAAATACGGCAATTAAACCCGATAGATAATTTCCAAATTACTACGGCCTACGATGAGGTTTACCTACCTTCGCAAACGAAGCTACTATTCTCTACTGCTACAATTAGATGAGTCTACGAGTGGCGCTCTTCTGGTTCTCGTCAATGGATGGAGGTTGGTGCGGACGGGAACAAGCGCGGCCCCGCACAGGTTAGATCGGTGAGCCCCGGTGGAAGGCCACGTGGTGAACTTATTCCGCGAATGAGGGCCGGACCACCGGGAGAGAGGATTATGCGTGGAACGGCGATGGAGACTGTGTATGGCCACGTTCAACACTTTTCACTTCTTATTTTTTTTTTGCTTTTCACCTTTCCTGTTGGTTCACTTGCTTTGCACTATACACCTATAGCATAAGCTGTACAACGCGATTGGGTTGTACTTATACCGAAAACGGCGAGCGGTATTTACGTTTCTCGTTAATTTGCTCACCTTGTTTTGCTTGATGCACTCAATTTTCTTTATTTATAATACATTTCGACTGAGCATTTCACTTTTTATCTATACCTCTCTTTTGGTATAGCATTTCGTGCGTCAGAGGATAGTTGGACGCACGTCTAGTAACTAGTAGAGCAACCAACATCAACAACAACACTACTGGCTGGCTACAAGGTGTTTTACGCTATGCCCTAAGGGTTGGATGGTTGTTTGGCTGGATTCCACTGGACAGGTTGGGCCGGTGCGTGTACGATTACATGTGGATTGGAAACACTAGATGTAATGCTGAATGAGTAAACCAATTCCTGCGGGTGAAATAAGGAAAATGATACTGATTAGTTAGATAATCTAATCAACAGTTGCGACGCTTCAATCGCAGAATGGCTAATCCTGCCAGTCCTATTGAATTTAATGGTAATGACGATATCCATTCACAAGAATGTAACAAAATGCGGAAATGAGCTAGGGAATAGGGATAAGGCGGTAAAGACGAACACCTACTGATTTGAACCAAATGAAAATCTAACACCACATTTTAGGTCATTTGCTTAGTTTATTCAACAAATTTTTTAAAACATAACAATTATTCCGGATTCTGGACTTAATTGTTTTGAAGGTCCCGGATATTAAAAAGTTCAATTGAACATTATCGAGATCTCGAACATTCGGATCCTAGCCTTGCAAGCATGTTTCAGATTCTGGAACTTCAGTTATCGTCTAATTGCCGTGTCCCTATGACTAGTGAGCGTCTAGACTAGTGTTTGCATTCCCAGGAACGAATTCCCGGCAATTTCACGGAAAATTTTAGATCTACTCAATGTTCGGGGCGGCTCAAACAGCGGCTGAATACGAAATGCTTCTCCCCGAAAGCTATACCCAAGATGGCAGTCCCATCACGGCGGATAGGAGACCTTAGGCCAACCTCCTACTGTCTCCGAAACCTTTGTTACAGAAACCTATAGTGAAAGATTACGAACTGATTTTATGGCAACGACTTTTAGCGCTAAACAACGGACAGGAATTAAAACATGGAATGTACTGACGCTAGCCCAACAGGGTAAACTGGCACAACTCGCCAGTGAGGCCCCCACCGTATGAAACTAGAAATCCTGGGACTTAGTGAAGTCCGCTGGCCGAACTTTGGAGAACACAAGCTGTCTTCGGGACAGGTACTTTTATATTCTGGTATGCGAGGTGAAAACGCTCCGCGACATCGTGGAGTTGGCTTTCTGCTTAGCGCCAAAGTGGGAACCTATCAATGAGAGAATAATCGTTGCCAGATTCAGAACACGGGTCCGAAACCTTACCATAATCCAATGTTATGCGCCAACCGATGCTGCCGAATTGCAGGACAAAGAGAACTTTTACAGTCAACTGAATGCTGTCGTGGATAAGACTCCAAGAGGTGATATCAAGATCTACACAGGCGAAGATCGGCTCCGACAACTCGAACTATGAGCGCATTATGGGACGCCATGGTCTCGGAGATATTATGAGCGAGAACGGCGACGAGCATCAAAAATGCCTTTATTGAAACAAGCGAGAACAACCTGGATGAGCTGCGCGCTCAGAGGAAGGAGTGGATCACCGATGAAACGTGGAGGAAGATCGAGGAGCGGAGAGAAGCAAAAGCCGCTATAGAGCGAGCAAGGACCCGAGGAGCCAAGAACGAGGCCCGTCAGCGGTATTCGGCTCTAGAGAGGGAAGTTAAGCGTTCCTGTATACGGGACAAGCGAGCGTGGGTGGACTCCCTGACTGATGAAGGGGAGAAAGCCGCAGCAACTGGCGATATCCGCCTCCTCTATGATGTTTCACGACGCCTGAGCGGGGCAAGGATGAACCCAAGGATGCCTATGAAAGACGCAACTGGACAGTTGCTAACCGACCCCACTGACCAGTTGAAACAGTAAAACAAATGAACTTGAATCTTTGACCATATAGCATTATTTTTACTATTTAATTCCAAGCGCTTTCATCAAGGAGTTTTTGCGATAACGCATAGATGACATTGCCGAATAATTATTCCATCCGTTTGCAATTTCCGATAATTTTCGCAGAATATTTCGTATTGAAATACCAAAAGATAGGGGAAATCGCTCTAATGTTGGCCTATGGATCTAACATTGGGCCCATCGCATAAAAATCTGCTATTGATCAATTTTATCTAGCTGAACAATGACGCGTCAAGGACGGTACTAATGGATATTTTTTGTTGCTATTGAAAATTTAGTGGATTGCTGAATTTATGTATGTGTGTGTGTGTGTGTGTACAATCTAACCCCACTGTCCGGCAGTGTTATTATGGAAGAAAACTGCTTTTTATTACCCTTAAATTAAAGCAGGTTTAGTCCGGGAGTTAGAAGGTGTCAGCTCTATTGCAGCTCCAGTGACCCATTTCAGAATGCCTGGTAATTTACGACCACTCCGAGGTCACTTTTACTTACAATAAGCCCCGCATGTTCACTCTACCTTTATCAAATGGATAATGGTATCATAAACACACTTCCAGATTCAAAAATATTATTTCCAAATCTGGCACGTATATAGTTTTGAAATTTGTTCAACTGTATTAAATCGATTTGAATGGACATTTCTTACCAATTTTGTTTCGAATACCTCTTGATTCATCTGCTGGCAGCACTTACTGGCCCTTACCGGCGACCAACCCTTACTCAAATGCTTCAACTTCCCGGATGGCAGCCCGCTTGATTCACTCCATCTTGATGACCTTCTGTTTGCCTATCAGCCTCTTCCACTTTTCGTCCTTCAGATACAAATCCGGAATAAGATCTTTTTTTTTTTACACCATCAATTTTAGAGTTTTTTTAATCGTTCAAATTGATAAAAACCATAAAAACACAGAGACTTTTTTTTTTAGCAAAATCAAAACACGTCATTTCAATCGCGCGGCCTACTTCCAACCTAGTCGATAGCTGAATTTATGTATGGGCCCAAATTAGGGACACTTAGGCCGACATTACATACATTTCCCCTATCTTACAATATTCATCAATTAGTGCGAAGGAAAAACGTCACGCGCGAGCTTGATCATGCTCTCGGTGCTGATGGTTTTTCTTGCTAATTCATTCATAGATCGTACCGTCGTGTAGGAGTTCACTTTTGAACCCCTTCGGATACGGTTGTGTTTTAATTGCTTTCCCTTTTGTGCGTGCGTTTGCTTTCGTAGTTTTCGGCTGCTTTTGCCTGATTAGCACTGGCATTCTGCCTTCCGTGTGTGATTGGTGGTTTTCTTACTTTCTGGAAAGTATTAGAATCGAGAAAGAAAACGTGATTCATCATGTATTTGTTTTTTTTTCTTCGCTTGTGCTCCCGGAACAGAAATTTGAGGCATCGCGAGTGATAGTTTTTAATTTCAGTTTTGAATAGTTTTGTGTCGGCGAGTGCGAATTAATCTTCACGACTATCGACCGTCTTTGGAGTAGTCCTCAGAACTGGCCAAGTGGACTCACAATGTGCATCAGTGTTTTTATCACACACAGATGGTTCCTTTTTGATTGTTTAATTTTATTTTAAACATTATTGGAATTTAAATTTAGGGGCTAACTCTTGGTGGCTACCGCTTTTGCTTACTGAGTAGAAGATCGTGGGTTTACTCCCAAGCTCCTCGAGAACAAAACAATGGTCACTATGGCCCCATCGCCTGCTTAAGCGAATCCTGACCCATCTCCTACCAAACTATCCAACTCCGTAGCATCTATGGCTGGCCTTCCATTAAGCAGATGTTACATCAACAATATCCTTCCTTTCCCCGTAACGGAGAAGATGGGCGTGGCCGGCAATGGTAATTGTCATGATTTTCCTGTTCTGAACTTTGATTGAAAAACTATTCAGTCCCAAATAGATTTCCTTAAGGTTCAATTTACTTTGATGCTTTTTGGAAAATTTCAAAAGCAGTTTTTTGCGACGCATTATTTCAGATTGCAAAAAGCTCGCACTATTCGATTCCTTTTGATATTTTACACAAAATGACGCGAGCTTTTTGCAATCTAAAATAATGCGTCGAAAAAAACTGCTTATGAATTTTTAAAAAATGCATCTAAGTAAATTGAACCTTAAGCGATCAGAATAAGAACGTTAAAGTTGATACATGACAGTTGCCAGTACGCAATCTACGAATTACTCCGTTACACACGCAACGCAACGTATAGATCGCCCCATCGTGTGGCTTTTTTTCGCTTCTCTGTTTTGTGCGAGCGTTTCAAATCAAATAGTTCTTCCCGCTGGAGACTGCTTACGTACAGATACATGCAAAAGCCAGTTGATTGCTTAGGAAAACAATATTTAATGCTGGCGGATCAAAAAAAAACTGCAAAGGACAGCCCTATGGGGTTGTACGCAATGGTGACGTAGGACTACGTGGTCTTATATAATAAATCTTATTTGTTAACTGCAGCAGGAGCTTGTGTTTTTTCTATAGGAATAGGAATTTGATCTGTTTATACTCTTTAGTATGACGCGCTTGACATAGATGGCCCACAGCGACTCACGAAGAGCTACTGATTCCGATCAATAGCGGCGCGGCTTCTTCCTCCTTCTATGGATGCTCATATGGGCTCCAGCTCGGCCTTTCGTTGTGTACTGGAGAACAATGTTCAACGCCACGTGCGGAAAGCACTGCTGCTGCTGATGCCGACGACCGGACATCACCACACACGGTGATTGGAACTGAATCCGATCAACGGTTGAGGCTAGCCTTGGTAGCTAGCTGCTTGAGGAGAACCTTTCGTTGTGTACTGGAGAACACCACCACTCACCACACGGTGACTGCATAAACACCGTTTGGCGGGACCAGATGGAATTCAACTTTGAAATCTGTGTTAGGGAAATCACTATTCGCAGGCAATCGGTGATAATTTTAATTATCATAGCAACAGTTGTACACTCGTGAAATTATCAAAAGTGAAATTTAAAAAATATGATAAATTCTTAACTTAAATGCGTACGAATATTTATGATCGATTGGTGATAAAACTATTAAAATTGGTCCAGGGGCAGCTGAGTTATTAACGTTCAAAAGCTTTCTTAATTTTGTTACATGTTCCATTTTTGTTTTTCACAAAGTGTGCCCCCATATAGAAATCACAGACGTAGTCCTACGTCAAAAGGTTTGTATTGAAATAAGGAATTTTACAGGAAATGTTCCTACCAATCTTTTGAAACAATATACGGAAGTCAAATATGACCTTTTATTCTAAATGCTTGTGTAATTAATGAGCAAAGTTAGCGACCACTACGATTTTGGTCCTAAAATTGAGCTTAAAAAATGGTTTTAGGAAAATTTAAA